CAAAGCCGGATTTCACCAGGGCAGACACTTGCTAGCAGCAGCTACTTTTGTTTATCAAGTTCCTTGTAATTGTGTGAATTAGAGACTGGATCATTAACTTCACAATGAACCAGAATGCTGATTTATTTAATGAATGTAAATGGTCTTTCGTTAGCTAATTAAATTAGGGAAATGAGAACCGTTGGCAATAAAATGGATAGCAAGGAGTGAAAAAGCTTCTGTATGCCAGTGACAGCTGTAATATAGGTCTTTCCATGGGCAAGCCCCTCTGTAAAACTTCAAACCAAGCTTCTGTCCTTGAGGGCAGCCTTTTACTACATTATCTGTGGCCAGACAGGGTTCATTGGAGGTCTGTAAAGGTCCTGAGCCAAGAGAGAGGATGCACTGTGCTTCACTTTGTAATTACAGCTGGTGCACCCAGACTAAGCTGAGTGGTCTCCTTGAGTTTATCAGTGCAAATACAAGCATTTGCATAATAAGTGCAATGAACTATTTACGGTAATTTTCACTTTTGTCTACCATGACTCAGTTCCTCAGTGGTGTAGAAATTCCCTGGGTTGAAAACTCTGCTGTTCCAAACCACCTACTTATGAAAATACTATATGGTCCTTCTGAAGTCAAGTCCATCATCCAGTAAGTCCAGTCCTCACCTTGTAACTCCTAAGCCAGAGACAAAAAGGATTACCTTCACACAAGGGCTCAGGCTGGTGATTGCCAGCCATGACAACACTGTGGAGGAATTTCAGGTGTCAAAATCACCAAAACTTCTCACATAAATAATATCTGGGAAAATTTCACTTTTGCTGTGATGAATTACCAGTTAACTCCTTACTCCATATACATTTCTCCCATCAGGAGCTTCTTCTCCCACCTAACAGAACCACAACAATGGGAGACTCCATCAATTTGGCTCCTTGTGGCCAAATGCTGGACAATAAATCACGGGTATGTTTGAGATAATAGAGCTCATCAAGGAATGGTATTAATTTCCTGCCAAAGAACATAACTAAAAGGCAAAGTGCATTTTGACAGGTTTATAATCCACCCATGTATTGCCATCCATGTAGGTAATACATTAATCTGGCCATATCTTACTCAAAACTCTTCTTAATATGCAACTTAGATACTTTTAACAGCCATTTTGTAGACTACTAGAAAGTAAAGCAATTGCAGAAGTGGCACAAATCACCGTCCATCCAGAACACCTACAGAAAGATTGTTATTCTCAGGAAGTAAATCAAATATAAGACTTCAAGCATCATGGAAATAAATTCCATTAATTTAACCATATAAATGACAAAATTCTTAAAAATAAATGAAGCCAGCATAAATAAATCATCATAAAAGGCCACTCCTTGGCCAGAGGCTATGGAGGAAGTCACCACATCTGTAACTGTTATTAATAGGAATAAGCTTGTAAAGATCTAGATACAAGCTTGAATTTTCAGCTATATATCTACATGGGAGGCAATAATTGGAAAGCAGGGACGATTAATATGCCTGATTAATTGCACTATCAGAAGACAGGCAATGCAATTACTGAGTTTTTCAGACATGCACGATCCTACACTCTATCACAAACCAAATAAAACAAAACAAACAGAACTAATCAAAAAGAAATAGGAACACTGAATTTAAGTAAACATATGTAAAACGTCAAAGACACCTTCATTCTGGATTGCTTTCACTATCAGCAAGAGAAGTATAAAATTAAAAATGTGAAAGAGATAAATTATGCATTCCTACCCAAATTAAGGGAATTTCCCAGCACAGGCTCTTGCAGCTTCCTTTGGTCTGCAGCCTGGTGGTGTGGAGGGAATACAAAGTGGATAAAACCATTTTCAGGACAGGATGCAAAGAGCTTGTGGGTGTTGCCACTGACCATGACTAATCAGGACTTCATCTCTTCCAAAAGCCAGCTTCTGAAAGACCTTTGGGCTGTGGTTGACCTCATTCAGCAAGCCAAGACTGTAATCTATTCCTGTTGAAAAGGGATTGCTGCCCTTCATCATCCCCTATCCCTCATCTACCTTGCTCCTCACACAGAGGGAAGAAGGACTTCTCTCAGCAGCCAATGCATTCCCTCAGTTTTGTCTTTGTTGGTAAAGCAGATGTAACTCCTCTCTCTCCACCTCTTCCCCATCCAAATGGACTTCCCCCAGCTGGCTGCATGGTACTACTTTGAGTCATTCCCCTGTGACAGGCTGGGGGTCTTATGTTAAAACTGTGAATTGATATGAGTTAAAAATAATCTTGCCAAAAAAAAAAAAAAATAAAGAAAAGCACTTTAAGAGGGTGAGAGGCAGCCCATAGAGGAGAATGGAATCCAGGGGAAAGCTGACAGCTGTTGAAGCTGGATTTGGCTCCATAGTAAGTGCCTTTGAATCTTTGAAGTTCAGCCAAGTTAATGAGAGTGGGGGGTTACATGTGTAGTATGGGCTTCCCATGCCCTCTGTACACCCACCTCCCACCTCTGAAGGATCTCTTGAGAGGGCACAATGAAACAGAGCAAAGCCAAAACCTCTTAGCTATGAGAAGAACATCTTCACAGGAAGACATCACACCAGGAAGCCCTTCTTGATGAGAAAAAGCAGCACAAATAGGTGACTTGATGGGAACTGCTGCCTCTTTCTTTGACAGAAGCTTGTGGTATCTATTTCTGTCCCAGTACACAGCCTTTTACTCCTTATTAATTCATGTTACCTTACCTTCTTCTCTCTTCACTTGACCCTGACCATGAAAATACTACGCTTTCCAAGAATATTACAACATTTTTAACTTTTTTTTTTTTTGGCCTCTAGGGTTTATTTAGTTGACCAATGTACATATTCCATCCTGTGGTCACAAGCAGTGGCAGCGGCTCTAAGCCAAATTCTGGTACTTCTTTTTTGTATGTTATTTCTTCACAGCAGGAGTTGAGTGTCAGTTCACAAATCTAACTTAAAGAGGGAGAGGAAAAGCAAGAAAAAATTCCCCAAATGCTCCACTTTCTATGACAGCCTTTTTGCAAAAGAATATTTCCACTGTCAGGACAACCTGATGGCTTTCCCAGAACATGGGAAGTTCATGGGAACAAGCAAGTGCAATATATTGAATTTTTTACTTGGAAACCAGTTGAGCCCTTTCTGTGAAGCCCAGAAACCACAGAAGCAGGAGCACCAAAGTGACCATCAGAGTGATTTGATACATCAGGGACACCTTCCACTAGACCAGACTGCTTAAAGCACCATCCAGCCTGGTTTTGAACACTTCCAGGGACAAGGTAGCCACAGAATAGTGTAGCATGCTGGAAGTGTAAGGTATTAAGAGTGGGAGTAAATCACAGCATCTGATTTTCCCTCTCCTATGAGAGGCACAAATCCCAAAGGGCACTCCAGGAGGGACTCATCCTGAAAGCCCTTGGGAGTCACTTATATTTGCTTCCACATTTTCATGTTCTCTAAGTTCTGAAATGAATTCCAGAGTGCAGGCCTGGATTCCAGTGCAATATATTTTTCATGACAAAACCATGGAATCTGGGGATTTGGAGCAATCCATACCTGTGAAAACCAATGGTTGCTGCTAAATGTTATGGACGGGATCCAGGACAAGCCATGAATTCTCTTCATGTTGATTGAGCCGTGTGTGTTTTTGCAAAATAAATGGTCAGCAGGAAGGACTGCATGAGTTGCTGGTTGGAGTGAGCCCATGGTGCTTAAGGTGAAATGGATATGATCAGATCAGCCATTCCAGCCACCCAGTGGGGCTTTCCAGCCACCCAGTGGGATGTCAAAGCTCAGAAGAACGAGGACATACCTCCATGTGGCTGGTTCCTCCCCAGACACCTGTGATGTCCCTCAAGCTACCTGGTGGTACCTATGCTGGATGCAGGACATGATGCTCTATATTCTCAGTGCCTTTGGTGTAGTATGGTTGGTGCAGCTCCTTGGGCAGCAAGGTGCCCAGTGCACCCAAAAATCTTGGTTCTGTTTCCAGCATATCTGGCAGGATCCTGGAAAGACAGACATGCCACCACTAGCCAAACATTTCCTTTATCACCAACAACTTTCTCAACAACCTTACCTTCTGAGAAAATGCCAAGAATCATAGAATCATTTAGGTTGGAAAAGACCTCGAAGATCACAGAGTCCACCTATTAACCTAAAACCACCAATGTCACCATTAAGCCATGTCCCCAAGCACAACATCTACCATGATTTTTGAGTCCTTCCAGGGATGGTGATTCCACCATTTCCTCTGCAGGAGGGAAGTTACTCTGTGGAGCTGTGGGAGATTAGGACACAACAACATGATTCAGTCAGCCCTGGCTCCTGAGACAATACATGTCCCACAGCAGTATCCTTGGGCAACTATGCTGTATCACAGGAGAGGAAGCCTTTTGCCAGTGTAGCTGGCATTCATGAAATTCCTTAAATGCTTTGAAATGCCTTAGATACTTCCATATTGCTTCCATGCCTTGTTCAGCTGCACAGTAAACAGGAAGATGGGCTCCTGTTGATATCTGGGCTTGATCTGGAAGGATATTGCAGTAATAATCATCCAGGGCACAGGCACAAAATATTGTGCTGAGACAAGCAAATTGGGGCTTTTCCTATCCCAATCATTCAGGCTGAATCAGCCCATTTCCCTGACCATAGCGTTTTTATCAGATGTTGTGCAGGGACAGTTGGGCTAACATTGCTGATTTGGAGAAACTCTTCCCTTCATCCCCCTGTCCCATTCCACACACTGGTCCTAACAGCAGTCCAAGTCAAAGAACTCTGGGCCCTCAGAAAGAATGGGAAATTTTCTGAAAATGGGAAATAGATGTACCAAAAGGAGGTTGGCTGGGTTAAATATTGTTCAAGAAGTGATGGTACAAGTGAGGCTGAGGAAAAGGAAGGAAAATAAGAGCCATTCACATGGAAGGAAAGTGCTCACTGCCAGCAGGAATATGTCAAAGGAGCTCTTTGTTTAAAGGCACGAAGAGGCTATGCAATCATAAGATCCATGTTACTAAAGAGAATTTGCTTTCTTTTGTTTTTATTTTGTTATCAAGGTTGGTTAAAACCAACAAGGAAGGGTTTAGCATGAAAAAGAAGGTTTTCTGCTGGGTTTTTCAAGACCTTTCTGGAGCTGAGCCATGCTTTGTTGTGCTCAGTTTTCCCCATGAGTGCAGACTTTTCTTTACAGGAATATAGCACTTCCTGAACTCCCACCATTCCCACAATGTTCTCACAGTCACGTTCTCCTTTTCATGCTTTTGGATCTCTCACTTGGAGGGTAGCAGTCAATGGCAGGGAGGGTCACACATTTATAGGCTCGAGTCCAAGTTTCCAGCTAATGACTTGAACAGAGGTGGAGCAGTTAGGAGAGGTCCCTCGGAGAGTGATGCTGGAACAACAACAGCATTTTGCCAGGAAATCAGAGTGAGACTCAAGCTGAAATATAGTCTAGTGAATCCCAGTGAGCAGGCACGTAGATGTGAAGCAAGGGAACTGAAGGTGTTATGTTGCCTATCCAGCATCTCCAGATGGACTTGGCTACTGTTTTTCCTTAAGGACATATCCTTGGAAGTTGTATTTGAGAAAGACATATGAGTGCACAAGTGAGGCCTGGTGAGCTAATAGTAATGGATGCACTAACCTGGAGGTGGAGACAGAAATAACAAAGAAGTGGTATACTGTTGGAACACATGGACTTTTTCTTTTGGAAATTTAAATTGATATTTTCTCTGAAAATCTGCATAGGCCAATTACAATTTACTGGGCTAAGCTCATAAGTAAGGCAGGATATACCATTGCCTAAAGAATTCCTCTGAGATGAACAGTACTGGAACAGGCAGCCCAGGTCAGTGGTGGAGTCACTAGTCCTTAAAGGGCATTTAAAAGACATGAAGGTGTGACACTTGGGGACATGGTTTAGTGGTGGGCTTAACAGTGTTCAGTTAATGGTTGGACTACATGTTCTTAGAAGTATTTTCCAACATTAATGGTTCTGTGTTTCCATGAACAGGTAGGAAACCAGGGTTTGATTTCTTTTCCCTGGTGTTTCACAATAAAGAACTAGGGAAGTGTCCGATCTCACTCACCCAAAGGATGGAAACTGCCAGAGGATCAGAATCGATCTAGGTGATCATTAGTAAATATGATCATGAAGATAAAAGGAGCACCACAGTCAGTTCTTTCTTGCAGATAATACAGGGTCCATGCTGGTGGTTTTTTGGTTTTGTTTGGGTTTTGGTTTTGGTTTTGTTTTGTTTTTATAAAAAGAGTCAGTAAAGTTGTCAATCCTTTAACATAAATTTCATCTGACCATGCCAAGCAGCCATCAGGGTTAAAACCTAATACAGTTCCAAGTTCTTTCCACTGTACTTGCAACAAGCAACTCTCTCATATCCCTGGGATGTGGCTACTCTGAGCCAGCACAATTCATAGTCAGTCAGGGCTTGATTTTGCAAATCCTTCTCTAACCAAAGCTTTCACACACAATGAATCCTTTGACCTCTCCGGGCTTGATGATGTGTGTCCTGGGAATTTTGATGCCTCAGCCCCTGACCTGCCAAAAGTATGGGAAAACAAATGTTGCCCTCAAGGGCATTTCTATATAGGAAGACCAAGGGACCTTGAATGCTACAAGAGGGCCACAATTTTAATGCTGTGAATGAAGTCTCTGTCAACCATCAGCAAAGAGCACTCTGACACCTCAGGGCTTTGCTGTCGTCAGTGTAAAATTAACAGTTTCATCAGATAGATAGTGTATATTTGTCCCTTTTAATTTCCCTTTTTTTCCCTCCTCTGAGTCCTCACTGAGATTTTATGAAAGCAATGTTAAACCAGGGGTGTTAGTTTGCAGGGCTGAAATAAGGTATTTGCTGTAACCTTGGCTGCCAGGCTGAAAACACTGTGAGCATATTGTCAGAGAAATACTGCATGGGCTGTGGAAATTATGATTTTTCCTCTAACAGCCCGTGGAAACTGTTCTTTGTTTGCATGAGGACTTCTGGAAAGTATGTGTCTTTAATGAGCATAAATCAGGTTGGAATCTCCACATTTCACAGTGCCATGGGCAGTCTGTCTGCTGTATGACTGATACTTAAGAAAAGGGAAAGATGCCTGTGGGTACATCCCCACTGACTCCAAATTGGAATCTGAGGAGATTTAAGACCTGAGGGCATGAATGCATTGGGGCCATATTCAGGGCACACATTTTGGAAACTGGATATTCTTGACAGCCAGGGATGATTCAGACCAGACTATCTCTGTCTGCCAACTGGGGTGAAGTTAATACCTACCTGAATACCTGAAAAGGCGTTCATAGGGTATTTCCACAGGCTTGTATCTACCCCTGCTTGGACCATCAGGTTGGACTGGAATCTCCTGAGGTTCCTTGCAGCCCAAATTCTCCTATAATTCTGAGGAAGGTGAGACCCTCGAGCTGAATTTTTCCCCTTCCCACAGTTGGGTGTAAGCATGTCCTGAAGACACCAGAAAGGGTGTCATCCAGTATCAGCCTTATACAGTGAGGCAGCAAACTTGCACAGGAGCTTATTGCTGCTGTTGGCTACAGAGAGGCCTGAGATTACAGCTCTTCACGGCCCCCAAGTGAGTTTGGGTCCTGTACTGTACATCAGCGTTGTACAGACATGAAGGCAAATCCCTTCTGAGCTCCTCAGGCTGCTGAGTCCACAGATGTGGGCTCCTGAAGCATCAGAACATGTGGGGACATCAGCTGATGTTTCATTTTTGACAAATCTTGGTTTAAATATCTTCAAAACAGGATATAGTTATTTTGTAAAATATTCCTTCTGATATATCTCATTTTCCTACAAAAACCACAAGTGTTTTACAGCTAAAGATACTCTGTAGGTCCACAAGTTCATCCCTGGTGATTAAAAAGCTCTCTATTTTGTCATCAAGAATTGCAAATGTGCTAATAATTTTTAAATTGAAGTTTTGTCTGAATTTCCCCTTGGCTTTCTAAAGGATCAGAACACTGGTGATACACTTTTGGTGAACTGTCCTGACAGGGCAACTGATGGTTAAACAAACAGGACTTCCCAGAATGACCTTTACAGAGGAAGAAGTCCTTGTCCCACCACTTCATCAGAGAGCTGCCTAGCAGAAAAAAGCCAGCATGCTCAGACCACTTGGAGCTTTGCAGCCTTGAGCAAAATGCTATATTTACAACCACTTTATTGTCATCTGAATCTCTGCAATACAATTGTTTGATGCTCAGACATGTTATTGACCTGGCATTTATTACTTTGTAGTCAGTAGAAAGTAATGGGTGGTTCTCAGCAAAAGGGAACTGGCTGCTGTGCGTGACAGGCAGCTGATAAAACTGAATTTTGCTATTAGTTCAGAGATAACTCCTTAGATTACCCAAAAACCTCTACTTCTTGACCTCTTCTGAGCTAAGGAATGGGCTATTGCTCAGTGAGACTATCACAAATTAACCTTTAATTTGCTCAGATCTCACCAAGGTGCCTAGATGCAACCAAGAGTCATGAAAATGAATGGGAATGTCAGTGGAGAGCTTGTGTGCCCCAAGCCAGGTCACCCAACCTGGAGCTGGAAGGGAATACTTGGAAGTCATAAAGTCATAAAATGGTAGAATGGTTCAGGTTGGAAGGGATCATCTAGTTCTAATCCCCCTGCCATGGGTAGAGTTGCCACCCACTAGATCAGGTTGACTAGGATGCCCTCCAACCTGACCTTGAACCCTTGGGCAGCCACAAGCTCACTGGGCAATCTGTGCCAATGCCTCACCACCCCCACACTAAAGAATTTCCTCTTAACATCTAATCTAAATCTCCCCTTTTTCGGTTTAAAACCATTCCCCCTTCTTCAATCACTTTCTGGACATGTAAAAGTCACTCTCCATCTTTTATATCTGCCCCCCTAAGGTACAGGAACATTCCAGAATGTATCCTTTGAGCCTTCTCTTCTCCAGGCTAAATAACCCCAACCCCCTCAGCCTGTCTTCACAGGACATGACTCCCGCATCCCATCAAGCCCCAGTGTGCCACAGTTCATGTTTCAAAGCCAGTCTCTTTGCTCTTTTCATGCAGAGTAGGACATTTTGGTGACTTGTCATCTAAATCCCATTTGGCATCTTGACAATTGAGGTCACAAAGGCAAGGGCTGAAGATTGACAGAGGTTAACCTAGGTTGTCCTAACAGAGTTCAAGGCACGCAAATGACATGAAACACCAAATCAGCTGAGTTGGAATGGGTTTGCAACATGAGCATTGCTTTATTACCCAGCTGATATAGCTGACACTGCCAGATATGGGTGCACCAGAGTCTTTAAGGCTAAAGTGAGAGCAGCAATCTTTGAGAAAAAGAGTTTTGCATTTAATCAGAGTCAATTAAACTACCTCCTACCTGTAGGCACCTGTAGGATAGAGGTGAAATTAATGAAGGGAAAAAGGTGCTTATTTCCAAGAGATAGAGAGGAAAGCTGAGATTGTGCTGGCAAGTCAGCTTAAAAATGCCTGTTGGACTGGTAGAGTAGCTGGTGTTGCATAAAGCAGCATGATTGTACAAGACGTATTTTCAGTGAAAATCTCAAGAGTAAATCTTGCTTACTCATTACTTTGTTTCTGTCATAAAAAATTTTCTTGTTTGCCAGAGAGCCAAGGATGTGACACCAGCACTTTCTTATCAAAAAGTTTTCTTAACTAGTCAAAATATTCTGTATATCTCTGTACCTACCTTTTTTTTCCCCTTCCCTCATGACTACCCATGTATTTGCCTGACCTTTATTCTCTTACATAAGTACTTCGCAAGCGTTTACAAACTCACTGATAGTAAAATTTTATCTTGGCAGAGTGAGCACAGCAGTGATTTCACATTCTGCTTTTATCAGCTGACTTCAGTCTAGAAACTTCACAGCCTGGGGTTAATCGTATATCTCATGAACTTCATAATCTACAGGCCATGGGTCAGGAAAGTTCACAACCATTTTTATCAGTGTGGGTAAATGCCAAGTTTACTATTGGGAAAAAAAAAACAGCACTGAAATACAGTATATACAATAAAACAAGGCTCCTGAAACAGGTTCCTTCAGAACTGCTTAGCTACAGAGGGGGATGGAAAGGGTAGGAAGTATTTTCACACCAGCTCTTCTGATTTTACCCTGTGTCTAATGCGCCTATAGGATTCATATCCACAGGAATCACCCAAGGATAACTACTACACGGGTAAGACTAACAGGGTTCAAAGTAGGATTAGGCATTTTAAGGGGAATGAGAAATGACAGAACTACAAGATTTTAATAGGGCAAAATGAAATTATACGAGAATGGTTTCAAAGTGAAAGCTTGTGATTATATATTAGGAACAAATTCTTTACTATAAGGGTGGTGAGGCACCAAACCATTCCATGATTGTATGAAAGTATGAGATCAGAGGTGTGCAGAAAAAAAATTAGATGGCCAAAATTTCATAAGTACCATAGATGTTGATGCACTTTGGGCACCAGTAGCAGCCTCTGTGCTGCAGGATCTTTTCTCTGGGTAGACTGTTCTGACATTACACTCCAACTGAGATCTTTGGAATAGCCAAAAGAGTGAGGAGGATCTTTACCTGTGACTATTAATTCATGCAGATTCCAGTAGTCTCCAAGATGTGAAGGTCCTGA